CACTACGTCGTACTGCTCAGCACTACGACGTACTGCTCAGCACTACGTCGTACTGCTCAGCATTATGTCGTACTGTTCAGCACTACGAAATGCGCTAACTATTCATTGAAGTTGGACTTTTTTTATGAATAGCAGTGAGATGAATTTCGTCCTGGACCGGATTTCCGGTGATATTTCGGCCCGGGCCGAAACGCTGCCAGACTTTGGGACCGGGCCGAAGTTCCGGGCCGAAAATTCCTTGGGCCGAAATTCTGTCCTCCCATGAGGTCACAACAGTGAAAAATTGCTATTTAGTTTTCGCTCTTGTTTCTCCAAGACAATATGTTCGATTGAGTTGAAAACTGTTTTACTGGTACTGAACACTTTTAGACGGGGTATTTTTTTTTTTGTTTCTTTTCATATTTTTTTTCTTCGAATAAAAAAAGCAAAATATCGAAGGTATTCTAAAAAATACAATTTTTTTTTGAAATAGAATAAGTATCCGTTTCATACAGTGACTAACATATGTGAAAAATGTTTTAGCTAGATCAGAAATACCACACCAGAGGAAAAAGAGTATTTCTGCATCGTTTTTTTATGAAAAAATTGTTTTGAGAAAAATACACAATAATGCAGTTTCGCGAATTCTCTTGTCTAAATTTAATTTCTTTTTGACTTTTTTACCGTTTAAAGCCAATGTTTTTAATTCACAAATGTACTCAGTAGATAGATATCATTTGAAACTATACAATGACCACAAAAAAATCATTAATGAAGAAAAAAGAACACAATTTTGAGTTAGAAAAGCGAGTGCTCTCTTAAACTTTCTCTGTCTAGACAAAAATATGGAATAAGTTTGATCAGAAAAGATTAATTAAAGTTTTTTTTTTAATTCTTTAGCCATTGAAAAGGTTAAATGTTGTCAGAGATAGATCCTATTCTTTAGAAAAGAGAGTAGTGTTAGACATTGTGTCAAGATATTCGAATATGTTGACTGTATGGTCTAAATAACACTTTTCTTATCAATAATTGTCTCAGTTCTTTTCACATAATATTATCTGTCTCTTTCTCATTCCATGTACGTAAAATAAATGAAATAGACTCGTTTCGTGATCATTCCTTGGTCAAAATTGAATTGAAATTAAGAGTTGTTGATAAGACTACCAAAACAGATGACTTTCTTTTATACACTTAATGGAAGGCTTATCTTGTGACTTATGAACGGTAAGACAAAATACAAGACTTCATTTCTTCTAATGTGTCGGAAGCTTTAGATGATTTCTCAAAAACAAAAAATATTTTTCTGGATAGAGTCTACTTATTCATATATATTATTTCCTCTTTGTGAAATACTAGTTTCTTAGATAAATAAATAACATTGTGTTTTAATGAATGAAAAATGGTAAAAGCAAAAAATTGAAATTGAATAACAATGACACTCGATAAACTCTCATAACTGCTGCATAAAAAAGTATTTGCTCATGTATCATAATCTTCAATATATTTCAACATCGCATTTATATTCAACTGGTTGATTCAGCTCATCTCTTATTTAAAAACGCTCTTTCAAACATGCTGACTTCAAACATTCCGTCGAAATTTGTGTGAAAAAAAATATTTACAGTAAGTGTCTGGACCCTCATTAATTACTGATATCCTTCGATCTCTCTGTCCAAATTTGTTTAGTTTTGGCGAACTGCTCCATTCCTTCATTTACTTGGATCTGTTTTATTGATGGTTACTTAGTTCAATAATTGAAAGTAGCAATAGCAGCTGCAATAAAATAAGGTAGAGTTGAAACAGCTTGAAAGTTTTCAATAAAACTGAATCATTTAGATGAAGAAACATATATATATATATTCAACAATTGAAATCGGTTTCATATGACGACCGAATTCAATTGTTTTCCATGGAAAATGATCTTTAATTTAGCCAAGATATTTAGGTTTAGCTGAATTTGTATGCCGAGCGTTTTATTTTTATAAACTGATAATGTTTAAATTTTTGTTTTGGTTTTTATCATGTTGTATTTTCATTGATAAAAATGAAAACAAAAAGAATGTATATAGTAATAAAAATAGTTAACTATGTAATTTAACATTGTACTTGTTCTCCATTAGCTGTGAACCATTCAGTATTGCAACCTCCACAATAGTTGGCGACACATGTAGCGTTAGGATATGCTGAACATGTTGCTACCTATTGAAAAATCTTCTTGAGAAAAACAGGACTGATCAGTTAATTGCGGTAACTTACTTGACATGGATCTGCAAAACATTGAACTGGAGGCTTATCGGGTGGACATGAAGATGTATTATTACAATTTGCTAGATTACCATCAGCTCCATACCACAGAGCATTGCATCCGCCACAATAGTTAGACACGCATGTAGCATTTTTATCTCCTGGACATGTTGATACCTAGAATAAAGAAAATATATTCAAAACTGTTAGAATATGAAGGTCTTACAGAGCATGGATCCTCAAAGCAATCTGCTATTAGTTCA